AAGCCGCAGCCGAGGCCCGCAGCCTGCACCGCCCCGGGAGGCACCGCTCTTGCAGCAGCACTGCCAGCGCGGATGAGGTGCTTTGAAAGCACCCTCAGGTGGGGACTTGTTTGCTTCCCCCCCCGTGGAGTGTGTGTGTGGCCCCCCCGCTGCAAGACACCCCTCCATGCCACCCTTTTCTTTTCCAGCCACCCTGGCATCTTGCTTCCTCGCTGGCAGAGGTGAGCTCCTGGCCCCGGCGAGGGTCAGCGCTTGACAAGGGTGCAGGTGGGGATGCTTTGCTCGAAGCCGGTTTTCTCCCCTGTGTGTTTGTACCCGTTCCCGGGCATCGACCCGACGTGCAAAGCGCAGCTGGCTGCATGGGACACTTGGTGTAAGAAAGCACAGAGCGGGTCCAAACGTGTTGCAATCACAGGGATGCAATATTTTAAGTTACACGCTCTTCTTGCTATCGAGCCATAACCTTCCCTGTGACCCAGCACGCTGAATTTGTCCTCTGGTAAATGACTCATGTCATGAGTCAGGGGAAAAATTGGGGAGATTTGGAAGGTGAGTCAAAGTAATCTAACTGCAGGGCTGGGGTTTGGCCTTTTGACACGCCACAAGCGTGACTCGTCCCAAGGATGCGCCAGTCTGGAGGTAAGTTAAGTCACCTAAGTTTTCCCAATGCTTGCATGGTTTAATTCAGCCAGATCAGGTCCTGCCGTGATGTGATTAGCTCCATGTGGGCATAAAGACTTGCCCCATCATGAGGTTAACTTACACCATAACTATTAAAAAACAAATACATTTGGGGCTTTTGGTCCAATGCTTTAAAGCTCTGAAGAGCTGATTTTTTTTTCACCTCTTCCTCGTGACCGCAGCTGAAGCTCTAGTATTCACTAATTGTCTGAAGCTGGGAGAAAAGTTTTAGAAATGCCAAGTATTGTGAGATTTGTAGAGGTCGTAAGGCTGGCAGTTTTGGGAAACCTGGCTTTGAAAAACCATTTTAATGGTTAATAGGTGACATTTTATTTCCCAGTTTTTCTTTGTTCCCATTTAAAAGATCCCATGCGATCCTCCCTGACCTCCACATATGGATTCTGGGGAGCCCTCTTCCTCTAGACATGCAGGATTTGCTGGTCCGTTGAACCTCTCTCCCTGTTCTGGCTCTGCTTGGGAAAAAGCAGATCCTTACTTCACAAATAAGCACTGTATCAGCAGTGTGACCATTTAACCATTTATTTAAACAGACAGGAAGACCAACCCTACTGGTGAACAAGAAAACAATTATACCTTCTGGACTAGAAGCAAGAAACTATAAAACTGTGCCAAGCTGCTACTGCACCCCAGGTTTAGGTAAGTGCAGTTGCCTCCAAGTATTCAATCCTTGATTGGGTTTCCATTAAGGGGTATCCTTGCACTCAGACATCTGCTTACTAACCAAGCTGCTCCTACAAAATGACACCAATTGTTCTTATTCTACTGAAATACTTGGCTGCTCATATTTTGTGAGGATGGGGTTAATTTCTAATACATGAACTATATATAGACAGATGATATGCCTACATATAAACATTCACTGATGTTAAGCATTTCACAACCACAACGCTCTTTTTGGAAAATATTTTAAGGACTCCATGAGTAAATCCTGTTCTATAGGGTTAAGGAAAAGGAAAGGTTGTTACGTACTTGGACATAAGCAGCAAAAAAACACATCCTGGAATTCAGCTGAATGTAGCTAATAAATTGGACTAATAGATTTTAGAATAAGCAATACAACACGTTTTGGAACACTCAAGACGCCCCAGGAAGTCTGTAATATATAAAAGAACTATAAACAGTGAGAGGTAAATTCAGCAGTACGTTTTCCCGTAGGGAAATCGTATTACTTGATATGAATGGCCTGGTAACAGCTACACCTAATTCCAGAATTGATGCTACTTGCCTGAAAAATTCCCAAGACCATTTTTACATGTATTGAGTTACTTAGGTGGTGAGCATGTTCTTTGGAGACAATGTGCTAAAGTTTTGCTTCTCTGAAAGCACCACACTGTACTATAGAGGTAACGTGTCCATAGTAGGAGTAAGAGTTCTTTATTCAGGTGAACAAAGAAAGAGCTCATTTATTTATTGCTGAATTCCTCATTAGCTAACATGACTGCACAAGACCACCCTTAGTTCTGTTTAAGCTGATTTTCTTTAAATGTTGCGCTGCACTTAAGATGTTACTGATGTATAAACCACTTAAAGCCATGTGCAAGTTGTACAAAAAACAGCCTTAAGACAGCTTAAAATCTGGGCTCTTCCAAAGTGAATGTAAAACATTCATGTTCTTCAAGAAGGGTGAGAGACCACCCACAGACCAGATCTCCCTTTGAAGTTGCCAGTCATCTTTTCGCCTAATTCAGGTTCAGCTCATGAAGTACAATTTTCACCCTTTAGAACAATTACTTCTCTCATCTAATAATGAAACTAACTACTCAGTACTGGAGATAAGGATATATCACAACATACAGAGGTTTGGCTTTGCCTCTTTTGCAAATAATTAGATTTTTTCTCAAACATTCATATGCATAAGTGAGATACCCTCATATGGATGTATCTCATTTAACCCACATATGAATGTAACTTTTATATGTACTAACACTAGCCCATGTATTTTATAACACACAAGCATAAGAATAAAAATTGTTTATTAAAATAGTTATGAAGTCATATAGCTCTTCACTATAAATATTAGTTCTCTCACAGATAAAACAAGTATGTTTATGTAGGAGTGGACTTTTTTTTTCATTTTTTAACACAAGCAAGGTATTTTCCTCCCATTTTTGAACATCCTTTTTTTACTCATCCACCTGATCTTGAAAGTATTCATCCACAAGAGCAGATTTATCTTCTTCACATTCCTGCCAAGAAGAAAACAAAAAAAGTAAAAACCTGATTTTCTCCTAGTGGGTGCTGTATGTCTGTTCTGTGACATTTTATTTTAGAAATCACAACAGGAACAGTGTCTAATATGGTTCCATAAAACATGTAGCAAAACTCCCTGAAAAGCATTTTGTTTCTAGAGATATTGAAATTGTATAGGTCAAAATCTAGATCCAGGTATTCTGCATGACTACAAAACTGAATTAAAATATGGAATAAAAACACTGCACTTGTGCCTTAGGATTTATGAGCTGGATAATAAAACTAGACAGGGCTTGGGACAGATTTTAACACAGCAGTCTTCTATCATGTATTTTACATGATGGAATTTATTCCTAATCTGTATCTCATATACAACGCATAGATTCAACACAGGACTTATCAGGGGAGTTTGAACAGTCATGTGGGAAGAAATCTTAGCGATCTTAATGGTCCTTTCTGACCTTTGAAGTTTAAATTTCCATTATTTATGAAAACCAAAGCATTACTTTAAAACACAACCATTTGATCTGTCTGAATATAAATAATTTCACTTTTGTAATTGTAAATTAAGACGATATAAGTGTCACTAAAACACTAAACACGGCTTATTTTAGTAAGACAATTTATTAGCAAGGCAAAGAACATATTTATATTACAACTGATATTATGGATCCTTTTTAATTTTTCACCGTATCATTAGAAGTGCCTTACCTTTGGTTCTTTAAATTCAAGATCTTCTCCATACTGAATGGTAAAGTCTATGTGCTGCAGAACTATGTTTATACTTTCCTCATCAGAGCGATCAAAAGGCAAAAATCGAACCATACCATAGTCATCAATCTAGAGGAAGGATTCGAATGATATTAGTAAGAAAATGCAGTAAGTTACTTCTCAATCACAGCGCTCTAAGCCACACTTACGCCTTCCTTGTCTGGACTTCTAAAATACCATTGGAAGTCACACTGCAAACCAATGGCAATTCCCTGCTCAGAACACCTGGCTATCAGTACGAAGTTCTACACAGCAGACAAAAACATTTTCCAAAATTGCTAATAGAACAGGATTCACAGAAAATGTATTGACTACAATCCAAATGTTAGGATCAAGAATCTTACCGTAATGTGAAAAAAACCCCAAAAACTGCTCAAGTGCCTGAGAAGCTTTTAGATCCTGGATTTGTTAATAAGTCTGGTAGGTAAATACATGGTTTTGGGGCAAGGAGGGAAAAGTTATTATAGTGCATACAATATCTATAACAGCAGTAAAGTCAGCAAGCATACACTTTGGATTATAAATACAGAACTGAATCTAAGGGTACCAGTTAAAAAGCAATATACCTACCAATCCACATATAGATTTAGTCAATTTTTTAAACATTTTGCTTTTCAATATATTTGTAGAATCTTCAATCATGGAATACATATCTGGATCTAAATACCTGCGAGAAACAAATTCATCTTTAATATCAAAAGAATCCTTGGCCATAGAGCAAATGAGTCATTGTGCTTTTATAAAGCTACCAAACCCATCTATCATTCTGTGATCTGAATGAACTAATGTCATATCAGGAGAACTTAAAATGTTTAAAAACAGTTTTTGTAAGTATTTGAATAACTCAGATTACAATTGCTAGTAGAAAAAACTGAAGTTTTTTTTTATTTTCTTTTTGCTAATATACTTGTATACTCAAAAAAGCTTTGAGGAAGACCCCAGGGAAAAACTTTAATTTTGTAATTTTAGCACAAATGTAAAAGTAACAGTTAAGTAATTCAGTATGTTCGGTATCAAAAAACCTGATAGATCACCTCCAATTTAGGTTTTGAAGTACAGTACCCTGGTGGGCTCAGTACCCTGGAATGTCATTCAGAATTTCGTAAGTTATTCAAGATAATTATTTACAGAAAAAATTCAGAGATATGTACAAAGAGGGAGCTGGCCTTTTGACTCTGACTAAATTGTAAGCATCCTATCCAGACATTTAAAGACTTTGTTTGATATAAAACAAATGCATCTTCTCCCATTCAGAAAGAGTATGTTTTAATTGTGGGAAACATTAGACTGAATTTTGAATGAAGTTTACCTCAAGATATTACACTACAGAGTGAGTAATTTTTCAGAACTTACTTTTCTATTTCCTTCTTAGCTTTCTTGCTCAGCAAATCCATTTTGGTCATGATGTTAATCTGTGGAATCTCTAAAGATATCATTGCACTGAGTGCTGCCAGAATTCCAGAGATAAACTTAAGGAATATGAAAAATTATGTAGTTAAGTACAGAAAAACACAATAAAAACATGCCGGACACTCTACCACAGACAAATCTAGCTAATATATGAAAAATGGACACGAGGCCAAGTGGGGAGTCCTTATCTCTGCTGGAAAAGGGAGGTGCAGAGCTTCCCATCTGCCATCTTATTCCCAGAGCCTCAAATCTGGATCTGTAACTGAAAAGGTCATTACAAAACTGAATGCCCATCTCAGGATTCTTACTGCTAGACAGGGAAAGTAGCCTGCCCTCTCTCCAGATCTCAGAAAGCTCTCACCGAATCACAGAAGAATTTAAATTGGAAGGGACTTTTAGAGGTTATCTGGTTCATACAACTGCTCAAACCAGAGCCAGCCTCAAAGTCAGATCAGGTTACTTGAGGGTTTTGCCCCGTCAAGTTTTGAGTAACTCCATGAACATACACTACATGGTCTCTCTGTGCCCCTGCTCCAGTCTGACCACGCTCGCAGTGCAGGTTTTCTTTACATCCAACTGGAATTTTACTTGCTGCAACCCATGTCTGAGGCAGCTGAAGAGAGCGGTCAGACCTCCCCCGGCTTAGCATTCTTTCCTCTGGGCTAAACAAACCCAGCTTCCTAAATTGCTCAGATTCCTTGTTCTTTATCAATAGAAACTTTTACAACAGATTTCAAATGGATACCTTAAAAGATTCCACCATAAACTGAGAATCCACAAGAAAAACTCCACAGACACGGAACTCCCACTGCTGAAGCTGCTCCACCAGCTGTTTCATCACTGGTAAATGTGTGTAGAGTTCGATCTGACCTGGGGCACACTCGGGATGTTAGTATGCAGAAACGTGGAGCTAACAGGAACAGTTATCAGTTACATAAATACGAGCATTGCACTTAATATGAATAAAGGCTGATAAAGCATCATCCTTCTTTTTGGACAACTCTTGACTGTATTAGAATGAACTTGTACTGGAGAAGTGGAAAAGAAATAGAAGGTTTTTGTCCTCCCTTGATGTCCAATTAGTGTTAGTTAGCAGTTGCAATGGCCTTCCCACACCATATGATGCTATTAAAAATCAGAGCAGTCACCCAGATTAGCCTGGGACCAAATTCACTTTCTGAACATCTGGAAGTGACTCTGACAACTGTTAGTAATGCAAAAAAAAAAAAAAAAAAGTGTGAATTATTACCACCAATAAAAAAAAAGTACCACAAATTTTACATTATGTAAGAACGACACTGAAACGTAGACATTTGTTTACCTGGGCAATCAAACAATATATAGTCATCCTCCACATGCCCAAGGCTTTCCTCTAGCCAGTTAAAGTTATTGGCAAAGTATTCCATGCAAAACACCAAGCCGCCATTGGGACCAAACCTTAAGGATTCATCTTCCATGACGTCGTCCACTTCTATTAACTCACGGATGTCTGGAACAACGGACACAGGAGGCGGTTTTAGCCCACTCGCTTACGGCGGTGCCCGAAGGCTACCGTAAGC